GGAGTTAGTGAGGATAATATGGGAAAAACTCAATTGTGAGGCCTAAGGTTAGGTTTAACAAAAAGGAAATGATGAAGAGATTAAGATTCAATTGTTAGACCATGGAGAGAATTGAGGCCAGAGTTTTGAGGAAGGAGAATTGGAGGCAAAAGCTTCAGAAGGTTCTGGTAATATTTAGGAAGATTTTGATCGACAATTAAGGTATGGGGAGTATTACCTTCATGGTTTTCCATGTGTATATTCAATGTATTTAAGGTCGATTTAAGGGTTTTGAGAGTGGATACGAGGAAAAGGGATTTTTGGCCTTCGTGGCCTAAATCTATTATTTGTGAAACTAACCGTGGAATCCAATGAAAAAAGGAAAGTTAGGCCTTCGTGGCTAAAACTTCGTCGTCTTGTGCTTATGTATCCTCATTCGAACGAGAATGAAAAAGTCAGAGTGCTCGTAGTTCTACCTACCACAGATTGGTTAGTGTTTTTTTACGAGCGATGTTAAGTTCGTGTTCCAGCAGTTATGGTCGATGTCTGTTTTCGGTAGAACGAAGGTAGCATGCCCTTTCTGAAAAAAGGTTTAAACGGAGATCCCGAAGGGCAAAATGATTGGTATTTGTTCAAGGATTTTAACATAAATGAATTGACTTTGTTTGAAATGCACATTGCACTAAAGTCTATGACATAGGATCAAATACTTTGCAGGAACGATCCAAACGTCTCGCGTACAAAGTACCCTAAGATGAGGTTAGGAATGCATCCACTCGTCTTTTCCTATATGCTCAAGGGTCGTAAAGACTACACACATTGTATTTATTAAGTATCTTGAATTTATTTGAGACTGGGAAAGAGAGAGACGCAAAGAGCAAAAGAAGAAACTAATGGATCTCACACCTAAATGTTGTCATGCCAAATGGTCCAATAGTTGAGATTGAAAAAAGGAATTCTATCCCAATGTTATCATGCAAATGATTAATCCTAATGTCTAATTCAACATTAAGTGATCAAGATGGGATCTAATCACTTAATGGAATATCCTATGGGACTGTCCAAATCATACAAGCATATCATGCATTAATATCAAAGTAATTATTCATCATAGGGAATCACAACTTTTCATTCAAGGTGCTTGAGAAATCATCGAATAATCAATCACCATAATATCATAATCCTAATTGTAACTCTACTAAAAATTTCCAAATTAAAATTTAAATAAAAGACTTAATATTTTAATAAACTCTAAATTAAAATTCTAATCACAATTTTCAAAAACAAAATATTAAAAAACTAATTTTAAATACCAATCAAATTTCTAGTTCAGAAAAATAAATGATAATTTTACCAAAACAAAATTCTAAAGAAAACCAAGATAAAAAGATTAGGAAAAAAATAATTCAGTGACTAAAGCTTTAAGAGAAGAGTGAAACATGGGGTGCTTGAGAAAAATGAAGGGTTTTTGTTCAATATATCAACAACAACAAAAATGAGGGAAGCTTACTTGGTCGGAGCTAGTCCGACGGATTTCCCATCTCCGGTAGCGTGTAGTTCAGGTATTACTTGCAATTGCTTCTTCTTTCTTCTTTTCTATTATGTTCTCGTCTTCCTTCAGTTCGTGTATACCGTCCCCCTCCTTTTGATATTGTGTGTGTGTAATTATCTTTTAATAGCCATCTTGACACTTGGTATTGAACTGCTACTTGAATGATGATAATTGTGTTGCAATATTTAGTTTTAGAAAGATTTCAAATCTGTCTGAGACATGTTTGGAATTTATTTAAAAAGAATTCAAATATGTCTAGGACATGTTTGTAACTTGTTTTTGAAAGAATTAAAGTTTGTCTTGACATGTTTGGAACTTGGTTTTATTAAAAGTGGATATTGATGTGAGTTTAGATAAATGGTTAGAAGAATGGATTTTGGAATTGGTTTATGGATATGGTTATGAAATGGATTATGAAATGACTATTTGATATGGATTTGAATACGGAAAAATGATTTTAGTATGAACATGGTTATGGAAAAAAATGGATAAGGATTTTGAAATGTGGAAAATGGATAATGAAGAATGTAAAATTGATAATGGATATCTGAATATTGGTTTTGGTTTGGATATGAAAGGTGGATAATGGTTGATAAACTTGAATGAACCCTCCGCCAATATTTTCCAATGATGCACACCTTGACTGAATTTAATCCAAAAACCAAATTAGAAGCTTTTACACTGAAACAACTGTCGTTTGAATCAATCTTGAACCTTTCTATAATTTATCTGAATTTTTGATTAAGATGAAATAAGTCCAGACACTTTGAAATCATCTGAATCGATCTTCGAGAAAATAAATCCATAAATGAACATAATTTAGACTGATGAACCTGATTTAAACCAAAGTTTCTCATAAATCAATGTTTGATAATAGTTGAAGCGAACTCTTGATGGTTTAACTAAGATTAGTTCAAACTTCCATCTAATTTTGATCATGACTGAATAACCACACTTGACTTGAAACCAAAATTCCTGCCCTTGAGTGCATACTGATCCTTTTAAACAATCATGAAGATGACCTTGATATCTAATGAGCTTTGGTAAAGAAGATAATCATGATGTTGGAAACTCAACCTTTGTCTCAACTCGAGTGCAATAACCAAATAAATCATCTCTAAATAGAAAAAATACTTTGATACACTTCTTTAGGAGTTCAATGTAAATGAATGAATGCAAGGTTATGACCTAATGAAAAACGCACATGAACGTGAGACACAAGTCAATTATAATTAGAAATAAGAGGGCAAATTTTGGGGTGCAACAACGATGAATAAAATCTATGACATAATTAACAACAGTTTGAACAAATTGGCTTTTCTCCTATTGTTTTCCAACTTCAACTTCTTCTTTTGTTTTTTCCTAACCCCAAGCTCCTTAAAATGTAACCTAAACCATTCACAACCTCTAAGCAATTGCACCCACTTGAATTTCCAACTTCACTTGATGCGTTTCGTTCAAGTTCATCATTCTATATGAACAACTTGCAACTTGACATTAACCGAAATTTTTGACATTTTCAATATCTCTGTTTATGGTTTTTAACTGAGTTTGGGATGAACAATTTCATTAATCTATTGCATCCACATATTGGGATTTGAAACATAGTACAATTAGCAGTTGACCAAGAAGTCGTGAATGTATGTGTAAATGAAGAAAAATGAAACAAATCCAACTTTCAGATGAAGAAGATTAAGAGAGAGAGAGAGAGAACAAATTACGAAATAATATTTTTTTTTTGGTTTCATCCCTCTTTTTAATAATAAACATGTTGTATTTCCACATGGAATATTAATATTATGTGGCATGAGATGAATTTAAAAATAAAAGCCAACTCAACACCGCCCGCCACATATGCTTTAAAGTAAAATGTAAGGATTTCAATAAAAAAATTTAGAGACCAAAATCAAAAACCCACTAAGACTCTGTTTAGTAAAATATCGTTTGATTGATAAGTTAGTTGATAGTTTATAATTTATGACTGATGACTGACGATTGATAGCTTATAACTTATAGTTGTTGGCCGACGACTTATAGTTGATAAGATAATTAAAGTGTTTGATAAAATTAACGATTTAATTGGTTGATAAATTAAAATAACATAAAAAACATTTAATATATAATTATTTTATTTAAATTAAAATAAATTATAAAGTGCTTTTTATATATAATTATTTTATTTAAATTAAAATAAATTATAAAGGTAATAATGAATTTTAGTTAAAATAATAAAGATAAAAATGAAAGAAAAAATGATAAGTTATAAGATATAAAATAAATTATAAACTAGTAAAATAAACTATAAATTTGAAATAAAAAAACTGTTATCAAATGTATCTTTCATTACCATGTGAGCTTATAAACGATACACTATAAGCTTTAAAATGTTCGTGTCACACTGAACTCAAAAAACTATTTAAAACTTACTCTACATTGATTAATTAATTAATAATGATTCATTCTTGATCGTGTGGTTTCTTAAAGGAAAAGGCTTAGACTTGAGCCATAACAGCCGTGGGATGATAGAACTGCTAGTCAATGAATCCAATGGTCAATAATAAAAGCAGCCCACTAAAAGGCACCAACAACGCGTACGTATTTATTTTTGTTCAATCTCTCATCAATGACTTGTTGGACATTTTTAGAAATTCATTTTATTATTAAACTTTATTACCTTTAATGCAGTGTTTGATAAAAGGAGACAAGATATATTTTCTTACACAGACAAATAAAAATAAGGTCCAGTGAGTGGACGAAATAAAAAATAAAAAAATTCATTTAAATTTATTTTATGATTTTTTTAAACTCCATTCTACGACAGAGAATTAGCACACAATCATAATGAGCATTAATGAAATATTGATTGAAGAAATTAATTGAATAAAAAGATTAATTATATTACAAATATTTCAATTTGTCCATAAATTTTATTTTAAATAGCCATATTATTACAAAATTGAATTTTATCACTATAATCGTGTAGTTTTTGATGATTATTATTTTATTTATGTAAAAAAATTATCTTAATTAAAAAATTTAACATTTTATAGGCCTATTAATTAAGTTTTTTTAGGGAAACTTGCTCACTAAGTTAAATTTTTATTAATATTAAAAAGTTATATTTTAAAATAAATTATTACTAGAAGTCAATTTTTCAAAAGTTATGATAGAACGAATAGATAGAGTCACAGAGAGAACAAAAGTTATACGAAGCGGAAATTGCAACGCGTGAATAATTTAATTTAATGATAAATAATAAATAAAAATACTAATAATAATAATAATAATAATAATCAGTAGAACTAGAACTAGAAAAGGGAAAGAAAAGCGTAGTGAAATTTTGGGGAAGATTGGAGGGAATGAGTTCAGAAGCGGTTAATTTAAGCGAAAAAAATCTGAGAATCGCGTTTTGAAAATCGATTCCACGGTGGTTAGGTTGATTGATGATCTTGCTCCTGCAACTGCTACCATGCCCAAAATGAAGCATCTACTCAGAAAGCTTCACATCGGTGGTGGCGCTGCTACAATCAATAATCATAATCCAAACGCAACATTGCAACTTTCTCATTCTGATTCTCATGCTACTACGACTCCTCTTCCTTCTTCTTCTGCTTCTCTGTCTCCATCTCCTTCTCCTTCGCCGTCTCCCTCTCCGACCGTTATTCAGAACCCTCAAAACGACGTCGTCGACCGAGGTGTTGTGGATTTCAATCTTTTGCAGGAAGAAGTGTTTCAGGTTCAATTGGCTCTTGCAATCCGTGCTTCTGATTCCGATCCTCATGATGTTGATGAATCTGCTCAGATCGATGCTGCTAAACAGATCAGCCTTGGATATTCTGCTTCTCTTACTGATACTCCCGCGCTTGTTCAGTTTCAATCGCTGCGTTATTGGGTACTCTTGTCAATTATTATTATTATTATTAATCTCTTGTACAATTTGAGTTAGGGGTAGTTAAATTATATGACATATGTTTGTTTCTTGTTTAGGGTAATGTTTCTGAATTGGGAATTTTTGCTTTTCATTCATAGTGCTTAGTATGTTCTATTAATGGTGAAATTATAAATATGCTTTGGAATTTTTCTCATGACTAAAATTTGGAATTTAATAAATAGTATAATATTACTTTTTTTATGCTACCAACGGGATTCAAACCTATCCCGGCTGGGAGAGGCGTCCACATTTAGTACTGACTGTATCTCAAATAGGATTGCCTGCAGCGGAAGGAGCATATGCGAAACACAAATATTTTTGTTTTCTTCATAAGACCTAATTGTGGCAAGATGGTGAAATATAGTTAAACGGACATTTATATACAACTTTTTGCATTGTTAGTCTATAGTTCTAAAACTCATTAATGATACTATGATGAAGTTTAACATTTATTCTTGAAACTTAATATAATAAAATATAATTAGACAGTTGTATAAAACTTTTCTGTGTTTGTTGGTGTATAGTTGTTGAAGTCACAGGTGATGTAAATTTAAGACTATAGTTAAAAAAATGGATTTTGTTTATTATGTTTTGGATGTGAAATTTAGTTTGCACACATGCTGTTTAATGTTTATGGACATTTGAAATTGATAAATGATGATGATGTTGATGTGTTCTCTTATTTGGCAAAAGTGAAAAACTGGTAGTTATAATCTTAATGGGAATGTATTTTTTGAATTAGACTGTGTTTTTCTCTTTGGCAGAATTACAATGTCATTGCTTATGACGAGAAAGTGATGGATGGGTTTTATGATGTCTATGGGATCGACTCAAGTTTAATTGAACGGGGAAAGATGCCTTTGCTGGTGGATCTAAAAACTGTGCCCACCTCACGAAATGTTGATTATGAAGTAATCTCGGTGAACCGCAATGTTGATGTTGAACTAAGTCAGCTTGAGAAAAAAGCCTGCACCTTGTTTGAAGAGTGTTCTGTTTCTGAACTAGGATTGTTTTTGAGTGGCTTAATTCAGAAACTTGCTGATGTTGTTGTAAGTAGAATGGGTGGACCGGTTAGTAATGCTGATAAATTTATGGAAAAGTGGACTACGAAGAGTCGTGAATTGCGAGATTCTTTAAGAACTGTAGTCCTTCCTCTTGGCCGTCTAGATGTTGGACTTTCACGTCACCGTGCCCTACTTTTTAAGGCAAGATATTCTCAATTTATTAATTTAAGAAAATTTACACAGTAAAAATTCAGACACTCAAGAGTTGAGACATTTTCTTTCGTTCAATTTTTAGACATTTGCCATTTTGTATGTGGAATACATTTTACTGTTAAGTTTTATGGTCCATTTGATTTGTTCTGTTCAATCGTGGAGTGTGTATATATACCTTTTAAAGATGGTAATGCTTATCATTTGTCCAACGAAAGAATTCACATTAAATTAAAAAGCAATATACACAACTAAAATGAAATTTCTTTATCTCTCAGCCAAGAACATTTACTTATAGGTTACCTCGAATTTCAATTTTCAAACTGGTCATGCTCACCCAATTTGTTTGATTTCAACTGAAGTTAGTTTCATTCTTCTGATGCTTAGGTACTTGCCGATAGGATTAATATTCCCTGCATGCTTGTAAAAGGGAGCTATTACACAGGAACTGATGATGGGGCTGTGAACTTGATTAAAGCTGATGATGGAAGGTATTTATCTTATGGTAGAATGGTGATTCCCTATTTAAATATTGCTTTTAAGGGAGTTTAATTCAACGGTCCTTTTTAATTAGTCTCTCGTATAGTTGACGAATGATGACAATTGACACGTATTTTCTTGAGTCAGAAACCTCTTAGTATTTGTTTGGGAGTTTGGAGGGGAAGACTTTGAAAAAAAAGAAAGGATTGAGTGAAAAAAAAATATAGAGGGATTTAGGTGGGGAGGGTTTTGGAGGGTTTGTTTTTATTAATAACACAAAGTCTCCTTAAATCGGGGGAACTCAAAATTTGCATTGAAGAAGGGTTTACATGAATTTTCCAAATGTATTTTATGTTGTTATAGTACTCTGAAAATTAAAAATATAGTAATGATAAACACTCTTTTATCATTCTATACAAAATCATTCTTTCAAAAAATGTCAAATATTTTCCTATTTATATATATGCCTTCCCTTCCCCTCCAAACTCCCAAACAAAGCCTTAGTGTACTTTTTGCAGTGATAGTCCAGATTCCAGAGGCAGATATTCCAAAGCAATCTTATTTCACATTTTCCATTTTGTATTTCTGATGCTTTGCAAAACTCCTCTTGTCATTTGAGATGGATAATTGGTCTACCTTTATGAAGTTGATGAGTATATAAAACTGTTAAATTCTTAAATTGAGTATAGGATCTTCTGGTAAATGTGATTTAGGATGTAAGGAAGCAATCATTTACTTTGTTGCAGACTAATGGTGAGTTGATTAATTGCAAATTATACTTACTTTGATCCACTTGTGTTTTTTAGCTACTCTATTTGAACGGTGTTCCATAGAATTCAGACCCCCAACAATTTATCTTTTATCTTTTAGATTGCACTCCTGTCATATTTGGCAAACAACCTTCTAATTAAACATACTGTGCCAATCGTGTGGTAATGTTGGAACAATTTTAAACTCTGTTTTTAAATTGTGCTGATGCAGTGAATACATTATTGATATGATGGGTGCTCCTGGTACTCTTATACCTGCTGAGGTGCCCCGTGGTAAGTACTTTTTTTTCCGGTTATGGGTGATAGACAATATGTATAGTATTAGTGTGTTGACTCGTGCGAAGCAAAGGTGGCATTCATTGGTTATCAAGTCACGCTCAGCGCACAAAATAGTAAAAAAAAAGTGAAGAAAGAACATTGATTAGTTTTTCTTATATTTATATCATCTCTTACTATAATGAAGGTGCCAACCGGTGGAATTCCAGCACCTGAAAATCCTCAACCACTTGGTAGTATCTCCGCTGCACCTTGGGGATCAGCACTCATATTACCAATCTATTACACATACATAGCCATGATGGGTTCTCAAGGACTTACTGACGCATCAAAGATAGCCATTTTGAATGCAAACTACATGGCGAAACGATTGGAGGTTCAAGCTTTGTCATAAACTACATTTGTTTTATTTTCTTGTTAGTTTCATGCACGATGAACCTTGGTCTTATACTTATACTTTGACTTCTATAGAGTTATTACCCAGTTCTTTTCCGCGGAGTCAATGGAACAGTTGCTCATGAGTTCATTATTGACTTAAGAGGATTTAAGGTTAGACCACTTGATGATTGGAATTGTTTTCAAGTAATCATTATAATTATTCAAGCTGTGATTAATTGTAAGGTATTTCCTTTGTAGAATACTGCTGGAATAGAGCCTGAAGATGTTGCGAAACGTCTCATGGACTATGGATTTCATGGACCAACAATGTCATGGCCTGTGGCTGGTACACTCATGATTGAGCCTACTGAAAGTGAAAGCAAGGTATGTTATTTATGGAAGTGAAAGAATTATCCTTGTTTGCAATTTATCGTGTATCCCCTTATCTGATTCAACTAAACATTATTGCAGGCTGAGTTAGACAGGTTTTGCGATGCTCTTATTTCCATTAGAAAGGAAATTGCTGAGATTGAGAAAGGAAATGCTGATGTTCACAACAACGTTCTCAAGGTAAAGAATTGCATCTCTTTAGCCAATATTTGATCCCCGATCTTTCAATTTCTTTAACTCTTTAGTTCGAACGAGTTGACACTTATATGTTATTATTAATAAAAGATAATTTGCCGCATTTTTTGTTACAAATTCAACTTATGAGCGATCATCTAAAATGTTGTGCAGGGAGCCCCTCATCCACCATCACTGCTCATGGCTGATGCATGGACCAAACCATACTCCAGGGAGTATGCAGCCTTCCCTGCTGCATGGCTCCGTGGTGCAAAGTTTTGGCCTACCACAGGTAATTATATGACCCCTTGGTGAATGGTTGAGTAAAATAGTTTGATTAAGTGCTTACTCAATAAGCTATTCTATGTGATTTTGTGTATCAGGACGTGTTGATAATGTGTACGGTGACCGCAACCTGGTTTGCACCCTTCTCCCAGCAACACAGGCTGTTGAAGAACAAGCTGCTGCAACTGCATAATAGTGTTATTCCTCTGTTACGTATATTTTATTTTAATTTCCAGTTGTACATAGACTCTTCCTATTCATCATACAGTCACTGCAGCTGCTATTGACTTTTGCTTCCTCCTTGATAATGATGATAATCCACTTCTCTTATTAAGTTTCATATCATGAAACTGTTTCGTATCACTCTCCTCAGCCTAAAAGGCTAAAACCAAGATGAAAGTTATTATCCTATGCAGAAAAAAAAAGTAAAATAGTGTATGTTATATTGCTTGTTGCTGCTATTTGGATTGTAGGAATGTATCTTAAGCCTACACGGAGGTTAAAGAGTGGATGTTTTAAGAATCTCTGCCTGTTGTTTTTGAAAAAAATTGCATAAAAATCTTTTGACTATCTTGTAAGAGCTTAACTTGTATTCTTAACTTATTTTCAATGTTTGACAATTCACACACAATAACTAAGAACATGTTCATATAGATGAACCATTCTGCACCGTAGTTGTCTTACCAAACTTCTCCAATGTTACAACAATTTAAAATATGTTTCTTTTTACCACACAATTTTCCACAATCATTGGGACGAGGTTCATTTTTACCACACAATTTTCCTCTTTGTCATGCTCTGTAAGTTAACTTCTGAATAAAGAGTTAATTTCCAGACATACTCGTAGTTTTTTTCACGAGACTGATTGAAACAATTTGATATTTTTGAGTTTTTTTATAGGATTTATGAAAAAAAACGTAGAATATTAACAATAAATAATGTCCACTCCAATTAATGTTCGTTTAAGAAATAATCTCATTTTTTATTTTAAAATAATCTAAGTTTTTTTAAATAAAATACTCAAATAACTAATTTTTTAATTTTTTTTATCAAAGTAACTATGTTGCACCAACAAACATGCAATAGTAATGAAGGTCGTCAATACATAAAATAGGAGAAGTCGATACATTCTAAAAAGTTTTTAATGGATAAGAAGATTTAAGAGTGAATTCATAAAAAGTATGACTCTTACTAATTTGATATGAATTACAATATGATTCCACGAATTTGTAGATAGAAGATTAAGGGTGTCCAAGCCTACGGTGTCATGATGCATAGGATTCTGGACGAACGGTGTAGACATCCGGTTAGGTTAGAGTTGTCAAAATGAGCTATCTCATATAAGTTAGTCTGCCAGGCCCGAAAAATCTAAGGTTTGAGCCTTAAAATTAGTGTTCATATTTTTCAGAGTTTTTTTAAAACAGTTCTAAAAAGTCCGCTATCCATTAGGGCTCGCCCGTATGGACCGTGGGTAGCCCGTTAGACTTGCATAACAATAAATTTAGAAAGAAAAAAAAAACTATATTAATACTTATATTGTGTTACTCCAAAATAACACGTTATTTTTCTCACCTCACTAAATTTTATCTCTATTTAATTAAATTTTTCTCTTTTAAATTTTATACGTTAATATTAAATCAATACTCTTTCCTCATATTTTATTAGTTTCTCTTATTTTAAATTTTTAAGTATTATTTTATACAATTTAGACATGTGCTTTATTTAAAAACACATTATAATATTTATAAAAGATAATATAATACTTAAAAATATATTATATTTAAAATAATATAATTTTTAATTTTATTTATAATAAATATCATGGGATTTTTATTTTATTTTTTATTAAAAAAAATTCATTTAAGGTCGGGTAGTTCGAAGCCCATCAAGAGTTGGACTCGAATAGTGATTTTCGAGCCCACATTACAACAATTTTTTTTTAACTCAGCCTTAAAATTTTTCATAAGGGTATATTTTCAATCGACTAATTTTTTGTTAATATGATCCAAAATAAAAGAAAAATCAGAGTTCTTAACTCTCATAGCCAAAAGTGAGAAACAAAAATATTTGACGATGTTGAAAATATGTTGAAATTCCATAATACTCTCCAATTAAGTCACTGATAAAGTTTTTAGAAGGGTGGAACTTAGACTTACACAAATTAATCTCCATTCCTAAAATTGAAAAAAAAAACATTCATTTATTATTTTATACAAAATTTTCTTTAAAAGAATTTCAAAATAATTCCAAATTCTTTCTCATCAAAGTCCTATATTCTCTCCTCCTTATCTCTTAACTCGCAAACAAAACTAAAATTGTGTTTGAATTAAGGTATAAAATAAATTGAAATGACAAATATTAGAATTCTATTATTTAAGATTATAAATAATAAATAAAATAAAATTCATACCTCTCATTTTATAATAAAAGTACTTAAAAGTCAATACCCCTTAATACAACCAAAAAAAAACATTTCAACTAAAAAACCCTAAAACAACAACACTTCAAATCAAAACACTCACTGCCGCACTGAACATAAGCCGGAAAACGCCGGCGGACCAAAACACTCACTGCCGCACTGAACATAAGCCGGAAAACGCCGGCGGACTTGGTCGGCGCAGGGAGCAACTCCACCTCCAGAAACAGCGACAAATCCGTCTAGGTATTCCTTTTCTTCTTCATATCTTCCTTCCCCATTCCTTTAGCTTCTGCGATTAATCAATTTGCGGCCGCGGTAGCTGCTACATTAAACCGTAACAAACCTGAGTATCGCGTTTCAGGAAAAAGCTATACTTTCCGATTTTTACAGTGATTGACAAAATAGTTTAGTTTTTAACTGTTTATTGATTTAGTCTAGCTACATATGTATGTGAAGGTGAGAGAAGAAGAAGAAGATGAAGACTCTTTCGGGACGATGTGAATCATCTAAAGAGATATCACTTTCCAAAGCTACCAAAATTCTCTCAAAATTTGTCTCTGCTGACAACGGTGCTTCGCAAGTTATCAATGCCTATCTCCATCGAGCTTCAGATGCTTTCAATGAGCTCAACCAGCTTCATAGGGAGCTTAAACCCTCGCAGTCTCGTAGGAAGAAAAGCCGAAGCCACGTGGCAGATGATAGTGGGAGAGTAGGTGTAAGTTCTGTTACAAGTGCGGATGTGAAATCTGAAATCGGGATTATAAGGGAAAAGGTTTGTGTTGAGAATGTTGATGAAAAGTTGATTGAGAATGATGTTAAATTGGGTCGAGAAATTAATGGTTCTGTTGTAGATGGAAGTGAGAAGCGTAGTAAGAAAGATAAAAAGAAGAAGAATGAATTTGGAAATAAGAAAGGTGATGGAAAACTACCGAAAAAGGGGCAAAATGAAAATGAATCAGGTCAAGGCGATGAAGAAATGGAGGACGGAAAGAAACAGAAAAAGGACAAGAAGAAGAAGGACAAGAATTTAGAACGTGAGAGTGCGAAGGGACGAGAACAACAGAAAGAGATAGACACAAAGATAAGTAACAATGGAGAAGTAGCTGCTATGGTGAAAAATGAAATTGAATTAAGTAAGGGTGGTGAAGGAGGAACAAAGGACGGAAAGAAGCAAAAAAAGGAGAAGAAGAAGAAGGAGGAGAAGAATTTAGATGGTGAGAATGCAGAGGAACAAAAACAACAGAATGATATAGAGAAAAAGATGAGCAACAATGTGAAGGTTGAAAATGGAGGGCTGGTTGTTCCACAGGATATAGAAATTAGGTCCAAAAAGAGACATGAAGCAGGGAGTGAGAACAAATTACATGCTGAAGAGATAAAGACGGAGCAACGGAAGAAGAAGAGGAAGAATGAAGATGTGGAAGATAGATCCGAGGAACAGTCTAAGAAGAAAATGAAAAGGAAACATGAGGGTCAAGCTTAAATTAGGCCTTCATTATATTCACTTGATAGCTGTTACATTTTTTTTTTCCAATTTTGATCAGGAATTTTCACTTGAAAGATTGCTTACATTGTGGCATCACTTTTTGTACTATCAAAGAACATAAGAGGAATTTGAATATTGATTCCTCTTCCTCATTGTTGTCATGCTAGGATTGTGCCTAAGTTTATGTGTTTACTATATTCACTTGATAGCTGGGAAATCTTTTCAAAACTGATGAAGTGTTTTCTTTCATTTGTAAGGTTGCTTACATTGTAGCATCACTTTTTGTACCATCATATAACATTAGAGTAATTTGCTTCTTGATTCCTCTACTGTATTCTGTTTTAGTGGATATATTTTTTTGCAGTCTAACAACTCTTGCTACAATGAAATGCAATTTTTCAAGGTAATCAGATATCATGGACTCACATTGTGTAGGCTTGCTTCCACAAAGTTTGGTGTTTGCTAGTTGCACAGCAGAGGAGAGATTGCCACCACTCCTTCATGGTTGCACCCAAAACTCTTGCCACCCCTCCACATCATGCCTCCTACACCAACCAATGTGGTCTCCCTTTGCCCATCTAACTCCGTCACGACACACAGCTTTTGCTGTCAGACAGTCCACTCACGAGTGTCCACCACCGCATGATTTCTTCTTTTGTATAGTGTCCCTCACTTGACCCAATGGCCTTGCCTCCTACTCCCAATGTTGCTCCCCTGCCTGTAGATATGTGTTTAGGGATATAGTCCTCTGTAGCCACTGTGGCATTATTTGTGTCCTGGTGGAGATTTATCATTTTTGTTTGATGATGTTTTTATGCCTTCTCTGATGGCTTCCTTAACTAGTGCTCATTTGACTTGTTAGACGATAGATCTTTGTGACACATTTTTCTACTATATGACTGTTTGATCTCATATATAAGCAAACATTTCTTTGTCATGCTAATTAAATAACTGATTTATGTCTTCATATAAAAAAGGTGGTATGGATGTTAAATATTCTAACAAAATTGATATAATTAGTTTTCAAAATTATGAGTAGTCTTTCTGCAGATATTTGGTATCATGTTTCCAGGTGGTTCGGATTGCTTGTGGTATTCCCAAATGACTGCACAGACCATCTCAACCAATTTGAAGCTATTCTTGGCAGGCTTTCTTCTAATTAAACATACTGTGCCAATCGTGTGGTAATGTTGGAACAATTTTAAACTCTGTTTTTAAATTGTGCTGATGCAGTGAATACATTATTGATATGATGGGTGCTCCTGGTACTCTTATACCTGCTGAGGTGCCCCGTGGTAAGTACTTTTTTTTCCGGTTATGGGTGATAGACAATATGTATAGTATTAGTGTGTTGACTCGTGCGAAGCAAAGGTGGCATAGTTGTTGAAGTCACAGGTGATGTAAATTTAAGACTATAGTTAAAAAAATGGATTTTGTTTATTATGTTTTGGATGTGAAATTTAGTTTGCACACATGCTGTTTAATGTTTATGGACATTTGAAATTGATAAATGATGATGATGTTGATGTGTTCTCTTATTTGGCAAAAGTGAAAAACTGGTAGTTATAATCTTAATGGGAATGTATTTTTTGAATTAGACTGTGTTTTTCTCTTTGGCAGAATTACAATGTCATTGCTTATGACGAGAAAGTGATGGATGTGTTTTATGATGTCTATGGGATCGACTCAAGTTTAATTGAACGGGCAAAGATGCCTTTGCTGGTGGATCTAAAAACTGTGCCCACCTCACGAAATGTTGATTATGAAGTAATCTCGGTGAACCGCAATGTTGATGTTGAACTAAGTCAGCTTGAGAAAAAAGCCTGCACCTTGTTTGAAGAGTGTTCTGTTTCTGAACTAGGATTGTATTTGAGTGGCTTAATTCAGAAACTTGCTGATGTTGTTGTAAGTAGAATGGGTGGACCGGTTAGTAATGCTGATAAATTTATGGAAAAGTGGACTACGAAGAGTCGTAAATTGCGAGATTCTTTAAGAACTGTAGTCCTTCCTCTTGGCCGTCTAGATGTTGGACTTTCACGTCACCGTGCCCTACTTTTTAAGGCAAGATATTCTCAATTTATTAATTTAAGAAAATTTACACAGTAAAAATTCAGACACTCAAGAGTTGAGACATTTTCTTTCGTTCAATTTTTAGACATTTGCCATTTTGTATGTGGAATACATTTTACTGTTAAGTTTTATGGTCCATTTGATTTGTTCTGTTCAATCGTGGAGTGTGTATATATACCTTTTAAAGATGGTAATGCTTATCATTTGTCCAACGAAAGAATTCACATTAAATTAAAAAGCAATATACACAACTAAAATGAAATTTCTTTATCTCTCAGCCAAGAACATTTACTTATAGGTTACCTCGAATTTCAATTTTCAAACTGGTCATGCTCACCCAATTTGTTTGATTTCAACTGAAGTTAGTTTCATTCTTCTGATGCTTAGGTACTTGCCGATAGGATTAATATTCCCTGCATGCTTGTAAAAGGGAGCTATTACACAGGAACTGATGATGGGGCTGTGAACTTGATTAAAGCTGATGATGGAAGGTATTTATCTTATGGTAGAATGGTGATTCCCTATTTAAATATTGCTTTTAAGGGAGTTTAATTCAACGGTCCTTTTTAATTAGTATCTCGTATAGTTGACGAATGATGACAATTGACACGTATTTTCTTGAGTCAGAAACCTCTTAGTATTTGTTTGGGAGTTTGGAGGGGAAGACTTTGAAAAAAAAGAAAGGATTGAGTGAAAAAAAAATATAGAGGGATTTAGGTGGGGAGGGTTTTGGAGGGTTTGTTTTTATTAATAACACAAAGTCTCCTTAAATCGGGGGAACTCAAAATTTGCATTGAAGAAGGGTTTACATGAATTTTCCAAATGTATTTTATGTTGTTATAGTACTCTGAAAATTAAAAATATAGTAATGATAAACACTCTTTTATCATTCTATACAAAATCATTCTTTCAAAAAATGTCAAATATTTTCCTATTTATATATATGCCTTCCCTTCCCCTCCAAACTCCCAAACAAAGCCTTAGTGTACTTTTTGCAGTGATAGTCCAGATTCCAGAGGCAGATATTCCAAAGCAATCTTATTTCACATTTTCCATTTTGTATTTCTGATGCTTTGCAAAACTCCTCTTGTCATTTGAGATGGATAATTGGTCTACCTTTATGAAGTTGATGAGTATATAAAACTGTTAAATTCTTAAATTGAGTATAGGATCTTCTAGTAAATGTGATTTAGGATGTAAGGAAGCAATCATTTACTTTGTTGCAGACTAATGGTGAGTTGATTAATTGCAACTTATACTTACTTTGATCCACTTGTGTTTTTTAGCTACTCTATTTGAACGTGTTCCATAGAATTCAGACCCCCAACAATTTATCTTTTATCTTTTAGATTGCACTCCTGTCATATTTGGCAAACAACCTTCTAATTAAACATACTGTGCCAATCGTGTGGTAATGTTGGAACAATTTTAAACTGTTTTTAAATTGTGCTGATGCAGTGAATACATTATTGATATGATGGGTGCTCCTGGTACTCTTATACCTGCTGAGGTGCCCAGCAGTCAGATCCAAAACTATGGTTTTGCCGGTAGGGATTTCACAGAGATTGCAGAACAGCCTAACAACATATACCAAATGCTTGGCGAAGAAACTGGTGTGCTGGGAGTATTGTCTGATTGTAATGTAGGGAGTGTCCAGACAAAAGAATTAGTAGAAATCGGCAGTCAAACAAAACCAGATGAAATGAATCATGTTAAGGTAAATGAAGCAGGGAGATTTGAGCATTCAGAAGCATATGAATGCTCATCACAATCAGAGTCATCGCATGCTGAAAACATGCATGTAAAAAATGTCTCCAAGTATGTTCTCAGTGCCGCAAAAAACCCAGAGTTTGCCTCTAAACTGCACACCATTCTTTTAGAAAGTGGTGCATCCCCTCCTTCTGATCTTTTTTCAAATATGAATTCCCGAGATAGGGGTTTAGATACTGTTCAAGCTGATTCAAATAGGCTGTTATTATTAAGTTATGATAAGTCTCTCATACTCCCTCAAGGAGTGGGCTCTTCTAGTAATACTAGGTTATGTCAATCAGTTGACCAATTAGCTGAGCAGCCAAAGGAATTCCGCACAGATGCCAATGAATTTTATGATTCTTCTCAGATTAGTAGTACAAGGAATCCTTTTGCAACTGTTTCCGGTAAAGATGGTGATATACAACAATCTAATGCATTAATTGTTGACTTTGCTTCTCCTAATACATGTAACACGTGTAAAGAAAAGTGTCCCGAGTCTTCCTTGTCCAAGGCAGTCTTTTCTTGCAAAAGGCACAATGGTGTTGAGTGTTTTTGTGACAATGATGAAAGTGGTCCTAGAAATGAGGCTGGAGCTTCTTTGAATAACATTGAACTTGGGACTGATTCAGTCATTCAAATAAACGAGACAGTGGATGGAGATTGTATCCTACATGATGATGGTAAAAGCAAGAACGTTCACCCAATACTTGGTGAAGACACACAATGGGAAATTCAATGGGAGGATCTTCGTATTGGTGAGCGTATTGGTATTGGTGAGTTTATTCCCAGGCTTTAAATTTGATTTTTCGGGTTTAAAGTTATATAAAAGCTCAGGGTCTTGATTTTTTTGGCTTTAAATATGATTTTTTGGGTTTAAAGCTATATATCTTTCAGTGAGATAATTGGAAACTTATTTTGTATAGATCATTATTACTCAAAGCAACTTGGAATTATTTAGATGTCACTATTTGATTTAGTGGATTGAATTAATAGAAATTAAGTAAAAGGTGGCTGAAAATATGCTGCCTGCTATTTCTCTGCTTGTGATGTAACCCTGCAAAACTAACTTAGCAGAACTGTCCTTGTAGGTTCTTATGGTGAAGTTTACCGCGCTGATTGCAATGGCACTGTATGTCTGCTCATACTTTTTTATGTTGTCTTAACTCTTAATTACTTCAACAGTTTGCCATCATGTATAATTTTCTTACTATTTTAAAAGTTGTTAAAATTGCATAGTCTGAAAATGTCTAGATAACTCCTAGATGACTTCATTGTTCTGCTTTATTTATGCAAGAATTTTATATACAGATTAATATTTTATATACTAATGCTCATGTAGCCTGTAGCCATTTTATCTCTTCTGGGTTCTGTCTGCCATTTTAATTTGTTATTGGAACTTTTATTGCTTGTCTCCATGGGATGGTCTCATGGTATAAGACTTGCTTCATTTGTGAAAGTACTTAATACTTTTGTTTGTATGACTGGGTTGGCAATGGCATTATAGGAAGTTGCTGTAAAGAAGTTTCTAGACCAAGATGTCTCTGGTGATGCACTAGATCAGTTCAAATCGGAAGTGAGCAACTATTACTATATACATATGTTTTAACACATTCTACGTACATATAAGATTCATGCTCATATATTGCTTTCTACAGATTGAGATTATGCTAAGGCTGCGGCATCCTAATGTTGTGCTCTTCATGGGAGCAATTACTCGTCCGCCACATTTCTCTATCTTGACCGAGTTTCTTCCACGGTTAGTTTAACTTTGTTTTTTACGCATTTTACATACAAACTTTCCCTTTCTGTAATTTTCTTAAATAAGATTATTGTTTATACTGATGTGAAGTGCCTTTTTATTGTTTCTGTATCATATATCTTGTTTTGTTGTTGCTGTTTTCCAACATTTCGCCAACATGCAACGCTGGCCTTCACCAAATCACATGGTTGATTAATTTCTCTATATTATTGATTTGCTCATTAAAATATATTTGTTACTTTGATACAGAGGCAGTTTATACGGACTATTGCATCGTCCCAAACTTGTACTTGATGAGAAGAGACGGTTGCGTATGGCTCTTGACGTGGTATGAATTGGAAATTATATATATATATATATATATATATATATATATATATATATATATATATTTTTTTTTTTTTTTTTTAATTTGGTAGTAGAAAAAGAATATATTAGAAAGGAGAGGAAAAATGCATATTGACCGGGGATACGTCATTCTCCAGAACCGAAAAATTTACATACAAGTAATAAATATGTTAAGAGTCAAGAATTTAGCAAGGATGCTCTGTGCTTGTGAGTCCCTTGAAAATTGAAATGACCATAAAATGAATACCAAATAGAGGCAGTAAATTTAATTGTATCCTAAAGTAAGTTTTGGAGTTCAGGAGACTTCCTAAAAAATGTGAGCATTTCTCCCCAACCAAATAACTATGGGCAACATATTATCACAAAATCATAGCCTTCTTTCTTAGCCTCCTCATTTGTGCAGAAATTCAAATTTGAGGGCCGCCCTTTCCTCACTAAGAACTCCAAATACTTTCCTCATTTTTAATTTTAGAAATAATTTCTCACTTTCCTTTATTTGATCTGAATCTCCTGCCCTCTTGTTAGGCTAAGGGAATGAATTACTTGCACACCAGCCATCCTCCTGTTGTTCATCGGGATTTGAAGTCTCCAAACCTTCTCGTTGACAGGCATTGGGTTGTAAAGGTAATAATCATACTTGAGCTAATGGCGCTGCTTTAGGTGCTTTCTTTACCAAATGGTTCTCCACATTGCATATTCAAAATAACTTTAGTGATTGTGTTTTTATCTAGCTCTTGCAGTAATTATTTATGCACATACTTCTATGAATTAAAATTGAATTAAGGACATTTTTGGTATAAGAACAATAAATAGGAAGTTTTAAATCAACTTTTGCTTATATTTTATTATAAGTAGATCCTTCACAATTTGCTTATAATTTGTTAAGGCAGTAATAAACTAGTGGTAGAGTCTTACTGATATTCTCGTTGTATTATTTTGTTATTTTAAAGATAGAAATTTTATGTTGGAAGGTGTGCATTCAACTTTTGGTGAACTTAAAAATTGTTTTCTTCAAGACATATTTCTATTTATTGATTTCTTAACATGTGTCTTTTGGGCCCAAGATAGCGAGAGCCGAGACCCATTATTTTAATACCTGATAATAACTTAAGTGTGTCTCACATGGCCTGTGTGTTATTATTGATAATCTAATTATGTCTTCTCATTGAAGTAAAATTATTATCTTAAGCTGTTGCTTTGACGAAGTCCAATTCCACTTAACAAATAAACCCTATTACATTGATTACTTTTACCTTTTATTCCAATTAATTATTGATGATAATTTGATAAATAATGTATATTTCTAATTTTGCATTGTAATAATGCCATCACAGTTGTGTCATTTCTCAAAAACCTTTTATCTTTTCTTTTTTTTTTTTGTATTCTATTATAAAGTAGTTAAATTGTTAATATTGTTATTGTTATTTTTATCTCTTGTTTGTTGTTGTATGACAGGTCTGTGATTTTGGTCTGTCACGTATGAAGCACAATACATATCTGTCATCGAAGTCGTGTGCTGGAACGGTAATTCATCATTAGATAAAAGAATTTTGAAAATTCTGTGATGACTCATTAATTCATTAATTATTGATATAAACTACAATTATACATAGTGTCTTTGTAAGCGCGTATGAAAAACAACCTAAACATATCTCTTTCTCACAGCCTGAGTGAATGGCACCAGAAGTCTTACGGAATGAGCCTGCCAATGAGAAGTAAGTCTGCTCTTCATGTGAATGCTTCATGGAATGCCAGATATAAGAGATTTGGATGTAATATTTAAAGTTTGCGTGCAGGTGTGATGTGTATAGTTTTGGTGTGATCTTGTGGGAGTTAACTACAACAAAAATCCCATGGCACGGTTTGAACCCTATGCAGGTTGTTGGAGCTGTTGGATTCCAAAATAAACGTCTAGAAATTCCAGAAGAAATGGATCCAGTGGTAGCTCAAATAAAGCTTTCGCGATTTCGTCGTACATGTGTTGCGACACTGATTGCGGTCGTCGTGGTGTCAATTAACCACAATTTATTCTTTTTCATGAAAACGGTGAATATCGGTATCGACGCCTTTCCATACCGCTTGTCACGGCCGAACTTGATTGAAATAGTGTAGAAGATATGAATAGGGCCTGTTTGAATAACAACTTACTTAAGTACTTATTATATAATTGTTATTAGTGAATATTGGTTTTTAATCTGTGCTTCATTATTAATGCAGCTAGATTCATTTCTAAGCCTATGAAGTTTTTTTTTTCATTTCAGATTCCAAATTTCTTTTTTGTTATTGATGATTTGTTTTGGTTGCATGTTTTTCTCTTAGAATTAAAATTTGATTCACTTTTTCTTAAGCCCAGTTTTGTCAATGCTGATTCACCTTTTCCCCTTTCATATTGTCCTTTTATGATATGATCAGAGTGACATTGTTGCCAAATTCAAAGCCGAGGCATCATTGCTCCGGCTCACGAACGAAGACCTGAGTAAACAAGTAGAAGGTTTACAAACAAGCAGATTAAATGAAGTGGAGGAGCTAGCCTACTTGAGGTGGGTGAATTCGTGTTTACGAACCGAGTTGAAGAATTCGTGCTCAGCATTGGATTCTGATAAGCCATCTAGTCCTCAATCTGTTGTGAGTAGTAGTGGAGATTCTATTATTTCGTTCTCTGATCAATGTGGTAATGCAAATAGCTTTAATTTGGTTAAGAAGCTGAAAAAGTGGCCAATAACTAGTAGTGATAATTCGTCACAAGTTGAGTCCACAAGTAGTACTAGTAGTAATCTCTTTGAGAAAAATTGGGTTGAATCAATATCTGAGGGAAGCAATAGAAGAAGGCATTCGATTAGTGGTTCCAATAGTTCGGAGGAAGATATTGTTGTATTGAATAAAAGAAGACAATCTAATTGTTTCGATTCCCTTGAATGTTTAAAAGAAACCGAAAAGGAATTGGTGTCATTGTCGTCATTGTTTGTTCAGCAATCTGTTATGGAGAAGAGGCCACTGAGGATTCCCAATCCTCCTCCGAGACCTTCTTCAAGTTCTATTTCTAGCAAAACAAAACAAGAAAACCCAGCTCAAGTTCAACCTCCTCCACCTCCACCTCCGCCTCCTCCACCACCTCCAATGAGTTTTGCATCAAAAAGTAACACGGCGATGGTGAAAAGAGCGCCACAAGTGGTGGAATTGTACCATTCACTCATGAAGAGAGATTCTAGAAAGGATTCTTCAAACGGAGGACTCGTTGATGCTCCTGATGTTGCAGATGTTTGTAGTAGCATGATTGGAGAAATTAAGAACCGTTCATCGCATTTACTTGCTGTGAGTAGTTTTACATCTTATGTATTCAACTTACTAACTTCTAGCTTTCTTTATGACAAAGTTTGTTTACAAAATAGCAGATGATGTTCTGATTGACATAAAAAATGATAATATCTATTCTTCGATATGCAGATAAAAGAAGATATTTAAACACAAGGAGAATTCGTAAATTCACTGATTAGAGAGGTGAAGAATGCGGTTTATCAGAACATTGATGATATGATGTAGCATTTGTGAAGTGGCTTGATGATGAACTTTGCTTCCTTGTAAGTTGTTTTGGGCTTATTCCATATGTAGCATGGAAGTGTATTAATGTTGCTTCTAAAATTTGTTAATCTTATGCATATATTTGCCATAGGTGGACGAAAGAGCCATCCTTAAACATTTCGATTGGCCGGAGAAAAAAGCTGACACATTAAGAGAAACATCATTTGGATACCAAGATTTGAAAAAATTGGAATGTAAAGTTTCCTCCTACAAGGACGATCCTCGGCTACCTTGTGACATTGCTCTAAAGAAAATGGTTGCTTTATCAGAAAAGTGAGCTACTCATATCTCGGAGAATGCTTTATGATTATTCTGTCATTTCACGTTGCAAGATGACTTATATTTGTGGTTTTCTATGTAGGATGGAACGCACGGTTTATGCTCTTCTCCGCACAAGGGATTCTCTAATGTGAAATTGCAAGGAGTTTCAAATTCCTGTAGAATGGATGCTTGATGATGGAATTATTGGCAAGGTACACCATCTGATATTTTGCTTCTTTATAGCATTTTATATATTTTGTCATAACATTGGACTCGACTATTCCATTTTTTTATAGATAAAACTCGGGTCAGTTAAATTGGCGAAAAAGTATATGAAAAGGGTAGCCATGGAAGTTCAAACAAAGTCAGCATTTGACAAAGATCCTGCAATGGATTACATGGTTCTCCAAGGAGTTAGATTTGCTTTCAGAATCCATCAGGTATGTCCTACTACGAGCGAATCCACATTGTGGTTCACAGCATAAAATTTCTGGATCCGTCCTTATCATTAATGATTGAACACGTGGTAAAACATAATCTTTCTCTATTTGTCTGTGAATGCAGTTTGCGGGAGGATTTGACGCAGAAAAAATGCACGCGTTTGAGGAACTTCGCAATCTTGCTTCTCTGCTAAACAAGACATGAAGAGAATGTTGAGTTTCAGCTTACCATCTCAGTAAGCCAAAGACTAAATTTATAGGTGCAATCTGGATAGGACCAGTTGTGTATTTGGTCTGTGATTGCATTACATTTTGGTAATGAGAGATTGGCATGATTTTGTTGTATAATACAAACTGGAGAGAATAATTGTACCATTCAAATAGCAAGAACAACTTAATCAAATTATGTTTTGTGTCTCTACAACAATGAAGAAAACTATAAGTGTATATTTTTTGTCGTAGACAAAACGTTAATAACCATTAGAAACTCTCACGTAGTCGTGAGTACCAAGATTTGAACCTTGGTAATGGTGTCTAACCTAACAATGTCCTATATGAAGTAGATCAATCAATAGGATATTGCATATTCGAACTCGTCTCAGCATTTGGTATTTGTCTGATATCATAACTGATCTGTTATTTCCTTATCAAAGTAATAATTCTTAAGTTGCTTCTCCAAATCACCAAACCACCTATTAACTCCCATAAATAAATCTTACTTTAGTTGCTTCTCCAAATCACCAAACCACCTATTAACTCCCATAAATAAATCTTTCTTAGGGTCCGTTTCCTTCATAAGAGGGAAGGGGAGGGATTTTAATGAAGGGGAGGGGTAGGATTTTAATGAAGGGGAGGGGAGGAGAGGGAAGGGGAGGTATTTTAATTAATGTATGTTTGGTTTAAAGAAAGGGAGGGGAGGGGGAGAGATTTTTAACTACATATATGTTTGGTTCACAAGGGGAGGGGAGGGATTTTAAATCCAAATTACATTTTTATCCTTATGAATATTATCACTTGTGTTTAGTAACACTAAAAACAATACTAGATAAAAATAGTTTTGAGTAAATTTCACCAAATAAAAACTTGTTCATTCATAAACAACACAAATTAAAACAAAATATTCAAAAAAAATATATTAAAATGTAAGCAAAATATTCAGAACATATTAAATTGTAAACAAAATATTCATAAAAGTCAAAAGAACTAAAATTCAAAAGACATAAAATTTCATATATCTAAAAGTTTTAAAATCTAATTGATTAAAAAATCTCATTAGCTAAAGACATTCTTATTCAACTTTTCTAACTAAATATAAAAATTAAATAAGTTCCAACTAAATATAAGAAATAAATAAATTTAATTCTTGATTCTTTAGTTATAAATAAAAATAATAATATTATGTAGAATTGATACTCAATATACTTTGGACTTTTTACTCTTTATTATATATATATATATATATATATATATATATATATATATATATATATATATATATATATATATATATATATATATATATATATATATATATATATATATATATATATATATATATATATATATATATATATATATATATATATATATATATATATATATATATATATATATATATATTATATATATATATATATATATATATATATATATATATATATATTATATATATATATATATATATATATATATATAATATATATATATATATATATATATATATATATATATATATATATATATATATATATATATATATATATATATATATATATATATATATATATATATATATATATATATATATATATATATATATATATATATATATATATATATATATATATATATATATATATATATATATATATATATATATATATATATATATATATATATATATTATATATATATATATTATTTTTTAAAAAATAATATAGTAAACTTGATGTTTAAATCATCCATCACTAATATTTAATTATTCAATAAGGACAATCATGGAATTAAAAAAATAATTAAGGTTAGTTAAGGTTAAAAAAATAATAAGGTTTAATTATTCAATTAAGGACAATCACTTTCTAACACTAACTTTTATTTTATATACTAAAAGATTTTGCAAAAGAGTTCAAATAACCAGTTTTTAAAGTGAAGTCCTCTTTAATTGCTCCTTATTAGATTTTTCTTAATGCCCATTACTGACTTGCAATTAATATCGTTTGTTTACTAATGGTAATTTTAATGTGATGTTCATGAAAAAAATTTATCATTATTAGAATGATGTGATAGTGGATGACGAATTGACCATTAGTCCAAACACAATGTTGATTTAGCTAGTGAAAGATATGACAAGAAAAAGATTAGCAAATTTTGTAGGAGTCATTTTACGCAATTTTGTTGTAGTATGCTTTTAGAATAAACTCTGCCTCAATTAGATCTTTTAAGGGTTTAATTGTAGTCTAGTTCACGGTTATAGAAACAAAGGATTTATGACTCAAACTTTGTCTTAATCCACTCATTCTCCTTGATGTTCTCCGGTCCTACGTTAATCTAATTCGACACAAACGCTCACTTTTCAAAACGTTTATTAAATGGTAGGATTGATGGTTAAGGAATCCACAAGATTTTCGGAGTGACGATCACCCTTCTTGTCTCTAGTGTCTGTAGTCACACGACTTGCTCTTACTCGGGGATTTTTCTTTTGTAATCCTTTTCGCTTTTCACATTTTTTATTCTTTTGTTTGTTTTTCCCTAATTTTTGTCTGAAATGACTTTCTTTTTTTTAATTTTTCAACTTTAAAGTCCAGCAGGATGCCCTAACTTTTGCCTAACTCACTTGTTTTCCAATTATCTACTTAGCAAGCTTTCTTTCTTTTATCCTTTTTCTTTTGATTCTTTTTCCTTTTGAACCAATCGTGTGACACTAGTTTGTCTTGATTTTTTTAAAAGGGTTGTGACTGGCTCATTCCTTGGTTGATGAGGGATAACCATTATGGTTTCACGTCCCTTGACCTCGTGATGAATGAGGAAAGAAAGGTGATGGATCCTTGGATGCCTATTGACATTTGAACACTCGGCCAAACTAATTGACGACTACCCTGCTCTAGGTTAAATGTGAGGGTTTTTTCATACGAAAAGATACTCATACTTCTAGAATCAAAGGGGTTGACAAGAAATTATTTTTCTTATATCTTTAATGTTTAGGGATTTGAAGCAATGTTTATACATCATC